AAAATAAATATTAAATATATTATATGTTTTTAAAATATTAAAAAATTCAAAAACCTCCTACTACACCTATATTATATTACTTTCATAATAAGCCTTCAATCCGCAGATTCTTTAACGTTTAGGTGGCTGTTGATGTTGGCCACAAAAAAGTTGGTGTTGGTATATTCATTGAAGGTATTATTTCTCATTCTTCGAGTAAGTGCTTTCCGATCTCCACTTAATTTTTTATTTCATTTTTCTAGACGGCGCCATTGAAATTTCAGTTCTCTTATTTATGCGTTTATTTTTTAATCAGCAGTTCTTTTATTTATTTCTACTACATTTCACGATGTAAAAGTTTGACATACGAGTCGAGAACGTTTTTGTAGCTTTAGTAGTTATCTCTCATTTATAGAAAATTTCTCGTATTAAATTTTATAAGTATAGGATTTAAAATTCACTTTTAGTATTTAAAAAAAGTTTGATATATAAGTCACCTAGACTTTACATTTAATTTAGGATTTTGAACACAAGCAATTCATGTTGACTCAATTTACTCTAAGAAGTGAGTGAATTGGAGTTCTAAAAATTCTCTCTTTTTTGCAACCACAAAACCAAAATTAAAGAGAGTAGAGAAAAAGAGTTTGCTCAATGATTTATAGAGGTTCGATCCAACCATTTGGAGCTTAGTACTCTACCTTGGCTTCACTCACCAAGGATTTCCTCCATACTCTCCACTAATAACAACAAGGATGGTTTAAAGGAGCCACTCAATCCTTTTACAAGAATAAAGGTGTTTCTCTCAAATCTCACCCCTTTACACTTAAACCCCAAGGATCCTCTTTACATATCACTCTTGAAGGAATCAATACACCTTCAAGATCACTCACAAATAGAACAAGAAGAGGATTACAAATAAAGATCTCTCAAAGATTAAAATCTCAAGTTAAAGCACAAGTTGGTAGATAAAGATATTTAATACAATGCTCTCTAAACTTCTTCAAATCTGTTACCAACTATATTTATAACCCCTTGCTCAAAAATAGCAGTTTCTAGCCATTGGGGGGTCATTTAATGCTCTGCAGGTTGCTTAATTCGAGTTGCAGAATTGTCAGTAAAGCCGGCTTACACTTCTAGAGCCAGCTCTACTGGTTTCCTGCATTCTGTTTTCTCGAGAGCCGGCTGCAAGATTTTGAGCCGGCTTTGAAACTCCGACTTTAAATACATTAAATATTCTTCAAAAGAGTCGACTGTTGTGCATTAAATGCGCCCTTATAGCCGGTTACAAAGTTGAAGCCAGTTTTGCGTTTTTTCTCCGTACGCGCCAAACAACGGGCTTCAAATTTTTGCCTGTAGAGTCGACTGTAGCTTCCAGAGCCGGCTGCAGCTTCCAGAGTCGGCTCTCTGCACTTCCATTTCATCAGAGCTGACTGCAACTTTACCAGAGCCGGCTCTCTGCACATTTTGAATCCTTTTGGTCTATTTTTAGTGCAATCCAAGTTTACTTGCAATCTTTTAGCAACTTAACTACACACTTAAATAAACCAATTAATCACTCAAATGTGTTTTGTAATAATCAAAATCATAGGTACAACAATTCATAAACAAAAAAAGACTAAGTATTTATATTAAGTAAAAATTTAACGTAATGGTGTATATAAATGATATTCAAAATTTTTTTATCAAAAAAATTACTTAACAAAAACTATATATAATACAAATAAAAAATATTAATTCTTATTTATATGTTTTGTTAAAGGACAATGATTAGAATAATACTTAGTTCAATATATTTTATAATACACTTATTAAAAAAAATTTATTTTCAAATTTAAAATAAAATAATACCTAATTTGCACCTTTTTAGGTAAAAGATGTAAATCTTCCTTTAAAATTATTGGTTTAAAATAAATTTGTTATTTAAAAAAATATTGATATAATTTATTATTTTTAAAAAATTAATTTAAATTTAATGATTATTGTTAATTTTTTATTAGACTTTAAGAGTAATACTTTAACAAGATCAAAAAAAAAAAAGAGTAATACTTTAACAATATTTAGTAACAACGGTTAAATTTAAGTTAATTTCTTAAAAAAATAAAAATTTAAAATGAAAAATTACATTAATATTTTTTAAGATA